GGGGTCGAGTAAAATGCGTGTACCAGAGAGATAGCAGACAGATTCTACGGGGCAAGAGGGATAGTCTGATAGGACACAGGGAAGGACTACATATCAATATGACAGACTCTAGTTAACATTCCCAGCACAAGGGTAAAAGGGATGATAACGAAAGCTTAGAGTGTGAAGGGTTTTTCATGAATGCCGCTCGAAGGAGCACATCACACTACATTAAAAATAAGCATGGTCAAAATTATGACAGGGAAGGCATGATAGGAGGATATAAGAAATGTGAATAGCCCAGGGCAGAAGGAGAGATACCACAACTCTTTAGCACACGTTTGGTCAAAGGATGGGCTTCACTTGTCCCTTTGACGAGTTGTAATATGATGCTAAGAATGGCGAGACTTACTGACGATGCCGGCGAAGCGTCTGGGAATGTACCACGTCCACAGTCCGACTTTGCAAATGTTCATGCATATAATGGACTCCCGACTAGGTGCGTTCCTCTAAGTCTTCCTACCAATATGACCAAGTTGCGAAAACTAAGGTCATACAACTTCTATACAACGAAAGAAGACTGCGACCACACAAAAGGCTACACCATCTTGGTCTTCATACTTTCTAGATAGACTAGTTTAATGAAAAACGCTTAGTTAGATATGGTAAATATAACAATAAACGGAAGATCAGGGAAGCGATAAAAATTAACAAAACACCCACACTGAATAGAAGGAATGTGTGTAGGAAATTAAATGGTAACTACTTATGACTGTTGGATAGGATTATAGGGGCGAACGAGAAGTACCACTGAGCTTGATTAAGCTCGAATCTGGTCCTGACTCTCACATGTCACGCATTTCAAGTGCAATATAATTACAATGGAACCACTGCTTCACCTTTGACGGCTTTCCTAATATTTAGATTATTGCCACTTAAATATTCAGAAACGCTACTGAGAACACAAGATAGCTTAGAAAGAGGATTTAATTTTGCTCTTCCAAATTGACATAGTTGTTGAATTAATTAGCTTATCTGTTAGATTGCTTGAAGAGGTGCAGAATGGTAATGAGTTGGAAGCGATTCATCATTTTGACCAAGTAATCAAGCCAAAGCAATCTTGTATTCTCAGTAGAGTTTCTGGATATTTAAGTCGCAATAATCTAATTGTTATGAAAGCCGACAAAGGTGAAACATTGGAAGTCATGTCTAGGTCAAGGTATATAGAAAAAATGCTAGTTCATTTAAATGATATTTTACACATATATGCCCGATACGTAGGAGGATGTATCGTGGACTGCATCAACCTGAACGTCGTATTGATGCCAAACGGCTGAAGTACAACGCGAATCAGCCAGCGTTTTCTGGTGAGATTCATGTATGAATCTCTTCATTATGTACTTTCATATGAAATGAAAGTTTTCCCAGCGAAGTAATGTAGACTACCAGATCTGCTCGTAGTCTCGAAACCTACTTATAAACGCAAATACGTTGGTATTCTGCTTTTCTTAAGCCTGTATGAAGCCTTCAATTCTGTTTAACTAACAAGTGGCCTAACTACTAACTCGGCTTGTGACTTTGATAAAGCTTCTTTAGCGTGAATCCGATTTTAATTACTGGGCTTGACTACCTATCGTGTTGGTAAATTCTCAGTCAAGCTTGGCACTTAGGTAACTTGTAACTCCCTCTCCAAATGGTGTATCAAAGTATTTAGTTTGATCGATGATGAAAAATTGGATACAGAAGAATCCTTTAGTAAATGAACAAGACTCAACTTTTAATTAGATAAAAAACTCGGTCATAAATTGGTTGCATCGGAAGCCGAACGAGGCTTACTTTGGAGAGAGGACTGTTAGATTATGCAATGGAGACCTCGACTCCACGTCCTGTGACTCCTATACGTCCTTACTTTTCCTTTGCGTGTCATCTGCCAAACATGATCAAAATTCCCAAAATCAGACCGTGGACTTGGTACATTCTCGGACGTTTCGTCGGTATAATCACTGAGTCATGCAATTCTCCGCACCAAGCTACAAACGCGTCCCTCGACCAACGTTCTGCCGAAACGGTTACACCATGTTTGTTATGCTTCGG